CTATATATATGTAATAGTACTGACGAAGAAGAAAGTGATAATCAGTCATTGTCTCTTGTTCTTCGTCAGTACTATTACATATATATAGTCCGAAAATAGTTTTTTCGAAATTTCTCTTCGCAAAGCCCGTTAAGACGCGTCATAAAAACTCCAGACGCGTTCAGACGCGTCTTTTTTAACAAAAATTCCATCTAAGCGCGTCACGGTACGACGCGTCTTGGAGAATTCTCTAGGCAAAGCGCGTTAAGACGCGTTTTTTTTGAAACCAGTGGCAGACGCGTCTGATAAACGTTTTAAGAAAAAACCGCGTTCAGACGCGCCTAAGCGCGTGACGGTACGACGCGTCTTGGAGACTTCTTTTGGTAAAGCGCGTTAAGACGCGTTTTTTTTAATAAAAAGTGCTAGACGCGTCTAAACGCATCTCGGTACGACGCGTTCAGACGCGTCTGACCGTCTTTTTCAAAATAAACGCGTCTTTTCAGACGCAATGACTTTACATGGGTCACGAATTTGGAATATAGACACAGGTTAAAATTTTTTTCCATTATTTTCTTTCCCATTTCAAAAACATACGTCCAGAAAAATTTCCGTCATTATGATAAATTAGCCCGAAAAATATTTTTTTTCTTCATTAATGAGTCATTAATCTATATTCTTTTTCCTATTGAGTTTCATACGTGATCAGAAAACAGTCCGCGAATTTTTTCTCATTAAAAAACATTGTTCCGTGTTCTTTTTCCTGTTGGGTTGCATACGTTTATTAGTTCTGTATGAAGAACACAGCTGTCCAAATACAGTACCATATTTTCTGATAAACATTTGCCTATAAAAAGGCGTAATCAGCCTTATCGATTCCAATTAAGTTCACTTCTCAGCTTTCGATCGATTTTTCACAAAATCCGGACTTTAATCTGCTATAGAATCAACCAGTTTTTAACCGGGTGAACTCCAAAATTGAACCGACCGGTTGAACTACGCGTTAAATTGGCCGGTTCGGTTAGGAAAAATTCAACTAGTTCTAACTCTGATCTGCTGTGATCAGCGTTCTGAACTATCGTTTTTTAGCATAGCAGATTTTTCCTATTTTATCGAGGGACAGTTATTGATGTATTTACGTATTGGTATCTACTAATGAAAACTACAATGAAGCAACATCTGCAACAACTTCATGGTCTGTAGAATTACTACCACTCGCTACATTCTGATCATCTTCAATATTTTCTGCATTTTGAATCATCTCATGTATGTCTTTTGGAAGATCGCCGTGTTCAATAACACCATCAACTCGAATACTGTCCCAGAAAACACAATCTGAACGCGGTTTTTGACCAAACATCACGTCATATGGAGTACATTTTGTACCTCCAGTGACCCTTGTGTTAATATCATATACTACTGGCATCAAACCCTCCGACCAATGTAATGAGCCGGTGAACGACAACCATTTGCCTAGCGAGGCGCACCAAACCGCATTTGCTCGTTCCACGGAACCCTGACATTTTGGATTTCTCGGACGACCATGAACAATGAACATATTTGGAAAAAGATTTTTTAAATTGACAACAAGTTTATTCACAAACTCTCTACCATTATTAGAATGCAGCAACCGACACGGACCAAATGTAAAAAATAACATGTGTAAATGAATGACAACTTCCTCAGTTAATTTAGCTTTCAATGGAAATACCCATGTAAATTTCGAAAAATGATCTTTGCAGTTCAAAATCCACGAATAAGCGAGATCTTTAGAAACAATAATATCCGGATGACTGCTCATATCAATCAAGTCAATCTGTAATCGTGCCATTACTCTTAAAGAAATAATTGGCTTGCTTACAATGTATGTTTTTACTGGTTTACGCATTTGACAATCAATACATTGTTTTAAGAAAATTTCCACGAACGCACGCGGAATCCATTCATAGTTCGACGAAATCTCGCTCAAAGTCTTGTCACGTCCTCCATGTGAAATTCTTTGATGACACTCATTAATTAGATAATAAAAGGATTCATAAATAGCAATCGGCATTACACTTTTCTGATCACAAATAATATCAAAACTAGCTATTTGGGTTAAGACAAAATTATTTTTGCACCAATAAACGAATTTCGCTGAGAAGTTTCCATTTTTACCTCTGTCCATTCTTAGTGCAATTAAAATATCATCATGCGAACGCTTTGTTATTACAGTTTTTTCACAATATTTTTCTTTTAACGTTGAAATATAATGATCAGCTTCTTTAAAAGAACGACTTTCACTGTCTCCATTGGATGTGGTAGTATTGTTATTATTATTATGATTATCTGTTGAGACTGAATTATTTGAAGATAAATTATCCATACTAATTATTGAGCTGGTATTTATCATACCATTTGAAGATGGTGGCTCATTTGATTGTGTAATAGGAATTGGCGATTGTGTTTGCTCCATGTTATCCATGACAGTATTATGCAGACAATTTTAAGATTAAAATGCAAATGTGTTACGACAATAAGTATGAAGTTAGTATGCTTATTCAGTATATAAACAAAATTTAACTAAAGCATACAGTTATATAAGAACAGTCCATAGAAGTTCGCGGACTTCTGTTCATATAGAATGCTATGCAGTACAAATTTATGTACTAGTTTTTATCAGACACGTTCTGTAATAGCGCCATTTAACGATAAATGACTGACTGATAATATACGAAAATATACATGTAAAAAATTCGAATAACGGACAGATAGTTACGCAGCACACAAATCAAACTTTGAGAAGCGAATATCACTTTTCTTTACACTCTTGAAATGCAATTTCGCAGTAAAAGTCAAACCTAACAATTCCTTGGTTAGATACCAAACTTCCACCAATTACACAGTAATTCTACTTTTGCATAGTCAAATTCCACATTTGCCTGGTCAGAACTGGAATCCAGCGTATGTGTGCATACATGTTCCAGTTTTGCCTAGGCAGAACTGGAATTTCACTTTTGCTTGGGCAAATCTAGAATTTGATTGGATTCCAGTTTTGCCTACAACATATATGTACGTTTATAAGAAGCATGTTTCTCCGTATGAAGAAAAATGTTAGAAAAGAATAGATTGCTCCACGTGCTTATTCACGTGATATAAACGTATAATATATATATATACTCTCGCCACGTATATTGACAATACCGACGTTTTTTCCTCATTTTAAATGAAGACGAAAAACAGTGTCTGTTATGTAAGGCACTTTATTATACTAGCCAAAATGAGACCTGTTTAGATAAGGCGACAGAGAGCTGAATTTGTTGTGCTCACCTTCTGAAATTACTATCTGACTATATTCCCTCCTCTCTTCTCTGTTTAAGAGTTTATAGAGAATCCATAATAAATCAAATCTATTTGTAGTGAATAGATCAAAAGCTTGTTAGCAAAAAACGTTTGGTTACATCGGTCATTCTGTGTATATTTCTGCAGAATTTGACTGCAATCGAAAAAACAAGGGAATTGTCAGTATTTAGCATACCCATATGACCTTTAGATAGCATTTTATATTCACTCACTTTTCTCTTTACGCTACTTTAGTAAAGCTCTATGAATAATTTTCTTCCTTTGTCTAACAGATTATCATTTGAAGAAAATGTTTGCATACATGAGAGAGATGGAGAGAGAAAACAATGCGGATGACCATTTTTTTAAAATAACTTCTGACTGAAATGAGCTAGAGACTTGCGGTTTTTACTGATGTGTAGCTAAGACCAGTTTACAAGACTATGTTGAAGTAGCCTGGAGCAGCTCTGCAAAGCTGCACAAGTCCAGGTATCCATCTCTCACAATCCGTGAATTATAGACTTTCTCCGGCAAGCTACGCAATATCCGATGAGAGGTTGAATATCTAGAAGAGATGAATATCTGAAGAGGATGAATGTCAAGAGAGGATGAGCATCTAACTACCTGAAATCAAATGTGTACGATACCTAACAAATCGTAGCATGATGTGAAAATAAATATCTAAAAAGTTTGTGCAAAAGATAAATAATACAAACCATGTTTCGAGAGGAAAGATAGACGTACATATACCTACGCACACAGGTTGATGTACATATATTCTATACAACAAATTAGCCAAGATGTTAAAGTTCTGACACCCCTCTGTGTATTCAAGTAAACAATCTTCACTCGTCAACACGCGTTTGATGTTGCAAGTGCATGACCCCGAAGTCATGAAACTTGATGTCTTTACCTTCCGAATTTTGTGAAATTCCAAGCGGAAGTTCGCGAGCTCTCACACGTGAAATGTCGATAAAATGTCCCCATGAGGCGTGTATGAGAGATAGTGTGACTATAATTAAGGAACGTAAACATAAGCCAAGACAGAAAATATGTAAAATAAAAGATATGGGTTTTCCGAAAGAATGGAAAATCCTATAACTCGAAAACGAAAAGACCTAGATGACTGCAATCTTTTCTGAATATTCTAGAAGACTATCTATGCCTTAGAAAAAAATTTCAGCTGTCTACTACCTTTCCTTACTGAGCTATGAATTTTCTAACAATTGATGGTATGCTTTGTACAGGCGATATTAAAAAATCCATAACTTTTGAAAGAAGTGCTATACATCCAAATCCAGT